TTCCCAGTTGAGTGTGTTTTATGCCAAGACACAGTCTGTATTGACCTTCTACTGCCAAGTCATAAATGCATAAAATCTGTGTTGCTAATGGAAACACTGACAAGCCTTGAACTGCAGCGGACTGGCATAATGAAAATATTAAAATTTGCAGCTGCAGTTGATGTCAGATTTTCATTTCTTTTTTGCTGGCTAGCAGCTGGTGGTGGCCTCATCTCAAAACAAGCTAAAGTGTCCTGGAGGCTTTTTATTGGTATTGTCACAGCCCAAACTCTCTCTGTTAGTTTGGATATACAAGGCTGACTTAAAAAACAACAAAAACAAAGAAAGAAAAATGCCTTAGTTGTTGTGAAGTCAATGAATAGGAATCTTGGGCATGTTCAGGTTGGTTATAGTGGTACTTGGGAGTTGAGATCAGAGGACAGTGTCATTTTCCAACCACTGAAATTCAGGCTCTTCAGGCAGAGATGTAAGTACTGTAGACTCTCGTTAACATTGAACATTAATTGCAGGATCTTACTAACATTTTAATGGAGCATGTATTAATGTTTGTATCAATTAGTGTCAGTTTTCAGAGATCCAAACTGGTATGTGTCTTGTTTAGAAATTACTTCTTTTGTAAAATCTTAACATGTCCAAAAGGTCAGAGTCATAACGATGATGCTCAGGATGAAATTGCTGGCAGTGGTGATGGGTACGTATGTCAGAGGATCCTGATGTGTGCTTCTGAAAATGAATTTTAGAGCAGTTTCCTACTGTTAGAGGACTGATGTGAAATACAGGTTTGTGGTGTAGTGGACTGCTTGCGGGTGTGGAGACCAGGGATTCCTGAATTTGCTTTAAGTTGGTTTGGTTTTAATGCGGTTTTTAATGCCCTGAGGAAGGATAATTAATGCTGCAGTTCCTCTTTAACAAGACGAAGAAAAAAAATAGTCCTCATTTTACAACGATGTTCTAAAGGTTAGTAGGTTAAGTATGAAGAAAGCAGTTGCTGGCTTATCCATGCTTATTAACCCCTTCTTCTGTAGTTCTTTGTCAAAACTAGGTTTATCACTGGTTGCTGTAGCGGTAGACTCTTGTGTGGTTATTTTTCCTCCCCTTGTTGCAAAACAGCTTCACTTGATGTTACGGTCACAGCGTGCTTTCTAATACATGAAGTAAAATATCACCATCCAGTCTCTGATTCAAGCATGGCTGGCATCGGTTCTTTACCCTTGTCTATTTATTGCAAATCTTTTCTGATTACTTGCAGCTCTCTGCTCCTGTTTTTTTCACATAGGCATCTTGATCTTTTCCTTGCATCCTCGTTCCTTTTATATATCTTAGATTAGGAAGGTTTCTTTTAACTGTGTATTGAAGTATTCAACTTTTCATATCTTAGCTGTATGAGGAAGATCTGGTGGTATCAGTCTCTCCCAGTGCCTGATCGTTCTTTCTGGTTTCTGCTGATGAAATTCTTAAATCTTCAGCCTTTGAATGTGTTTGCAAGATTTTCTTCATATAACTGTTGCTCACAGAATTATTTTAGATCTTACCTTTTAATCTAATTCCACTGTATTTTCTGTTGTATTTGTCATTGCTAGTCGTGTGTTAGACTTTGAGTATTTCCTACCTGTCACTGCTTCAACTACTGACTCGAGCCAGGCAGGAAAGTCACTCAAGCATTCCTTCTTTTATTTTTGAGTCTTCAGCCTTTTGTTGTGGTCACTGCTTTTGTCTCAAATCATTTCCTGTTGTTTGTAACCTATCAATTACTTTGCTGCCTTTGATACTACTGCTGGACTTAAAAGTATATTGTCTGTACTACAAATTACTGATAAAGGTGGTGCTTACCTTACAGCCTGTTCTAGCATTTGGAAGTGGTTTGTGGGTTTTTTTTTTTCATTCTTAATTTATTAGAAGTTGTACATCATGTTTTTGACCAGGCCGCCTGTGTATGTATTCCCCATTTCTCCCTTGCATCCCTGCTGTTCACAAAATTATTGCAGCAGCCACTTCTGAAGTCTTGTGTGAAGTGCAAACCTGGGGAAGGAGCCGGGAGCTGACTCCTCATCGGAGAGCATTACAGTTGAGGAACTCGTTAACTGGGAAAGCTGGAAGCTTTTGGAGGCTGTATAAATTGCATGGCAAAAGATTATAATTTTAAAAATCCAGGGACAGGTCCACTCTAGGCAAGTTTTCAAGCACCACTATTTTTCAGTTGAGCCTTGTCAATAAGGCAGCTAGAAGGGTGTTTCGCAGGTGGCAAACTTTTCAGCTGTAGCCAAATTTAATACCTCATGGTTTATCAGACTTGCAAGTAGCTGGCCAAAAAACAGCTATAAGACTGAGAATGACAATCTTTGAAATGTGAAATGGGAGGTAGACACGATGCTGTGTATTCTGGAGCTTTTTTTTTTTTTTTTGGCTTGGAAGATGGGATCTCAGCAGACCTAAGATCTCCAGAGCAGAAGTCCCTGTGGATGAAGGAGAGTAACAGCAGGAACAACTCGCTTGTTTTCTGAAAAGCCTCTTTATATAATGTAGATGAAGTGGGAGGGAAAAATTGTGCTGTCAGTAGTCTTGCTTATTCAACTTGCTCTGCTCTTTCGGGAAATAGGAAGGTGCTTTGGACTGTTTGACTTGACGTTCATAGTTTGTTTGAAAACATCAGTAGCTTTCCAGACCTGCTGAGTTTTCCAGCTGGACAGCTGCAGTAAGTAGCCTGGGTTTTAATGTTCCAGAAAGCACCAGAGAAGTCCTGTTGAATACGCTTCTCATTTTTTGGCGTTTCATCAGTGCATGAGTTTTGTTGTCGTAAAGCTCATGTTTAAGAGTTCACATGACATTAGTAAGACTGTGTGTGTATATATATATATATATCTCTATATCTATCTATATCTATATCTCCAATATTATTTTCAAATATTATTAAATATTTTAGTATAGCTGTAGCTGAAATAACTAGTGGGGTTGTTAACCAGTGGCTACTGGCGATGGATGCAAGAATTGTTCTGAAGTGGATCACGAAAAGCTGCAAAGTACTTACGGGTGTTTGCTTTCCTCAAGATATTGTAATGCTGTGGTGGTGGGAAAGCTGACGGGCTTTGAGGATCTTGCTAAGCACACAGGCGCATGAGATTCAGTGGGTGTGACACACTTGGGTTTTCAGAAAGTCTTTATGATAAAGTCTTCCATCAGGTTATTGAAGGAATGAAGTTGCTGTGAGACTGAAGGAAAAATTGTTTTATAGAGTGGAAGTTGCTTAAAGAATAAGAAGCAAAAGACTTATCAGTGACTTTCAGGATAGAGGAGAGTCGGCAATGGGATCCCCCAGGAGCTGGTTGTGGTACTGGCTTTATCCAGCATCTCCGGTCCTCTGGAGAGGGGATTTAACAGCAGACACTCCCGTTTTGTGAGTGCTATTAAACTCTTACATAGTCCAATGCCATGCTGATGGCAAGGAGCTGAGCAGGCAAAAAGGGTGGCAGATGAGCTTGAAGGTAGGTAAATGCCAAGTAATGTGTATAAGAATAGGTAATCCATACCATGCCTACAGGGAACTGCCAGTTGAGAGTTGCGCATCAGCTCATGAATATCTGGTAGTGCTGCTTTCAGTTCTCCACAATCCTCAGCTCTGGGTGCAGTGACAGCCCAAAACATTGGCAGGACGCCAGGTGTCATCAGATCTGTTGAGACCAGCATGGGGACGGGTGGCTAAGATCTGTTGAGACCAGCATGGGGACGGGTGGCTAGATGTTGAAGGGGATGGAGCAGCTGCCTGGTGAGATGGGGGCTGGCAAGGCTGGGACTCTTCAGTTGAGAGGATAAAGCCAACGGGGGATATGATCAAGGTTTACACAGCCATGGAGGTAGTGATAAACTAAATGGCAGTGGTGGGGAGCACACACAGGGACTAGTAAGGTGTCAGCTTAAAGCAGATGAGAGAGAGGAGCTTCTTTACATAGCAGAAAGCGAATATCTGGTGTCTATCCCCAAGGAAGCTGTGGAGGCAGACAGGACCATGGATGCAGAAAGGGATTAGACAGCTTCATCCGCAGACGTGAAAGGGAGAGAGGAGGGGATGTCTCTCCCTAATGAAACCCTTATGGGTGCTCTGGAAATGTGGGAGGATCTGGGTTGCAGGCTAGCTCTCTAAAGAGCGTCTGGGATTGCAGCTGCTGGGAGCTGTGTTCTGCGCTAGATGGGCCATTGATCTGAATTAATGGGTTTCTTCTTGTGCAAAGTGATGATTTCCTTCTTTTGGAGTATCATTTAATGAGCTGATGCAGTAGAGTAACTGCTGCGTACATGGCTTTTTCTGTCAAGGACTGATGCTTTCTTGTTTATAGGCTTCTTAGTCTTGATTGGCACATTCAATTCCAATGCTAACACCTTAATATAGAAAGATAGGAAGGTGGGAGACAATTATCAGAAAAAGAAAGTCTGTTTACTTTCCTCCTACACCTTTCCCCTCACTTCCTCCCACTCTGTTTCTTGTATTTCACTTTCTTTTCCACTTGTGTCTTTCAGCAGTACGATTGCATCTTGTCTGTAAACAACCTTTGAGCTCTCTGAGGCAGAGACGATCACCTAACACAGTTTTATATACTAAAGTATTTTATTTAGTGCCCTACCCTATGGGTCTGTCATTGAAGTTATATTTATGTTTTTAAAAATGTTTTCGAATATGAGCTGTGACTTAAGAATTGTAATGTGGGACTTCTGGGCTCAAAGCTACTTTTCTTAGGGTTGGAGTAGATGGCTCAAATACTGCCCCTGTTTCTGAATTTTCTCAGGACATCAGCTTACCTGTTTACTAACGTGATTGTATGGAAGGGTCAAGATTATTAAGGCCTTTAGTATGTTTAGGTGCAAGATGCCATGATTTTTGATTATAATACATCATTACACACCAAATGGTAAGTACCTGAAATCTGTTAGTCTATGGAGCGCCTGTCTAAAAACACTGACCTCTTGGGTAATTTAAATGGTCTCTCAGTCTTTTAAATCTCTTGTTTCAGGAAATTAAGAAGGATGTAGAGCCCAAGGATGATGCCGTACCAGTCAGGAGGGAGAAATCTGGCAATGTAGCCAGTCTTGTGCAGCGTATGAGCAGCTATGGGCTTCCAGCAGGAGGATTTCAGCCTCATCCCCCATCCAAAAGCTTCAAGAAGAGTATGTAGTCTTTCCAATTCCTTCAATTGCGTAAGCTGCTGACGTGCGTTTTTTTAATAAACATGAATTATTTAATGTCTGACTTAGTTTTAAGGCTGTACGGAAAACTAGAGACATAGGAGGAAAAACTTTGATTCGAAGCCAAATTCTGCTCCTGGATGCATGGGCAGAAAGCTTAAATACAAGTTCTTAACAGCAGCAACAGGGATGAATTTTCTTGGGAACAGGGTTTAGACCCCTTCCAGATTCCAGAGAGTTGCTCTATAACTTCATGTGAGCTCTGCTTGAATGAGAACTGCATGCCTGTTCGTGATAATCAAAAATCTTCCTGTGGTCATTTCTTTTAAACATAAAAGCATTGCTACAAATTCAAGGCTTTGTGACAAGGAAGCACTCTGTAGTTCAGGTTCCTCTTGTTTGGTAGGCTTGCTTCTAGTGTGAAATAAGGTGGAGTTGGTGGTGTCTAAGAAAAAGTAGTGGTCTTCTTTTGATTGTAACTGCAGCCCCCAGGATGGTCAGGAGTGCAGACTTGGTGCCTCCATATCTGTGGTTCCTATGTTTTAATGCCAGTATTTAAATCAAGGTGCCTAAAACCTAGAGCAGAAAACTTAGCATTCCCTGCATCAAGAAAATTGACTTGTGATTTGTATTTGGACACCTCAGTCTTTCAAGAGACATTGCTGTAAATTACTCTGGCTTCCTCTCTCTTATAAGAGATTGCAGGCATTTATGATTTAAGCTTGCTTTTTTAAAAGAAAGAATTTAGAACTTACTGTTTCTGGTATGTTTATGCTTTTGAGTTTTTGCCCATAAAAGGAGAAGAGCTACTAGGCGTCTTTTTAAAGCCCTGAAATGGGACCACCAGATTTACAAATTTGTTGAAACCTTCTTCTAGGCAGCTAAGGATGTTACCTTCAAAATTACTTTTTAGTGAATCTGATCTGTGTATGTATATTGGCAATAGCACATCTGTGCCTGTTAAATGTTTGCATCAGCAGGCTTTTGAAAAAGTAGCCTGAAAGATTAACACTGTTCTTAGATTAATGCAACCAGGCTCTGAAAGGGAATCAACATGATCCTTATGGGTCCTTCCAACTCAAGATATTCTCGGATTCTAGGATTCCATGAACATAATTTGATAACCAGTTCAGGTGTCGGCTACTCATTCTGGTCTCCCTAACCCTGGAACGATCCCGTATTCAGCGTGTCTCGTCCTCATGCTGGTGGCTGTGTGGCCATGGCCGGGGTAGTAGGTACGACTTGGTCTCAAACTCTGCAGTACTCTGGCTAGTCTCATCTGCCTAGAAGAAAATGGTGTTCAAGCACCTCCCTTTAAGCACACAACTGTTTACTTGGCGCAGTGACAATCTCTGTGTTTCCATTTTACTTGCTGTTCCCTCTTTCCTGGAAGACTGTTTAAACAGCTCCTGCAGATCCTGTTTGCTCTGTGCCTGGGCAATCGCTCACTCCCTTCAAAAGGTTTCCAGTGCTTAGTTGTCTTTCCGTTTCTGGTTCCTAACCTGGTAAAATGAGGTTTACAACGTTAAACACAAAGTTTAGCTTCTTTAATAGCAAGTTTAATAGCAAGTGGTGAGGTAGGTTGTCTCTGCCTGGGGAGTCTCTTATGGTGTTCTGGTGTGCTGCTCTCACTGAATTTAGGCATTTTGTATCAGATGAGTAATAAGCTGCAGGCAGTATTCCTATTGGTTAGATGGCAGTCTTTATTCAGGAAAAGGAAAATACAGAAGGTGTGCTAAATTACGGCAACAAAGGGCTAAATTTGGTTTACCCTGTACAACACAAATAAAACCTGAAGCCAGACAAGTTGTTTTCGAAACGGACAGAATTGCCTGGGGGCTGCCAGTCCAGCAGTCCTGCGGTACCACGTGAAGCTGGAGTGTTGTTTTCTGAGAGGATTGGTTAGCTTCCTAGGTTAATCTAGGGATTTTCGAAACTGGAAGGCAGTACTTCCTAAACTGGGTATCACTGAAAACAGACCTCAAGTGAGAGAGAGTTCTGGATCTGAAATGCATCTGTGGGTTTGTTTTCTCCCCCTCTTCCCCATTTAGATAGAATTACAATATGAAAAGGAATGCTGAGATCAGATTTATACTAAATGGCCATGACTTTTTAATTTGCCTTTTTTTGGTATCAGTTAATCTCGTACAAAGGAGGAACCCTGAAAGCGCTGTAGGAGGTAGTAAAGGCCAGTGAACCGTTTATTGCAATTACTGTTAACCTAACAATCCCTCTTGGCTGATGTGTGAGTTTCAGTGGAGTTAAAAGAAGGGTGTATTATGTGGGCAATTATGTGTTATTAGAAATAACCCATAGAGCTTCATACTTTTGGTTTATTTGTTTCCTGCCCCTTTTAAGCCCTTTAAAGCACAGACCAGCATGTAGAAAATCCTTGATTTGGTGAGCCCTCGTTCAGAAATTTTATATGCTGAAAATTACTCCATTGCCTGGCATCTTTTGTACTGAGGACACTGGGTGTGGCAGTCTTCTAAACGTCTCTCTTTGGACTTTCAACGCTGCTATAATAAGACAACGATCTATCTTGGAGGCAGTATCTGTGTTTTGAAATGCTTTTACCCAGCTAATCTTAATTGCTGAAGCTTGAGTATGGAAGCAGTGCAAAGTATAAGGGAAAGTATGGAAATTATACAGCTCCTACAAGCTTAAGCTTTACCACTTGAAGCTTTTGATTCATATTTTTGTTTAAGCTGTGGCAGGTTGTTTTTGAGGAGGATGGGGAGCGTGTGTGGGTCATAGCTCAGGATGACAATTGCCTTCAAAAGTGTGCTGGCTGCTCTGTTGTGGAAAAGGTTTGAAGGCATGGCCTCTTGTTTGAAGGAGTAGCAGTAGCATCACTCCAGGGTATGTGCAGAGTAATTGGGCAATCATAGGTTCCTACCGGTCTGTCTGGAGGGCTTGTTGGAAGCCACTTCAATGCTCTCCCCTCTTGGGATGTCACTTTGTCTTTTTAATGCCTGCAAAGCTTTAATGATACGTGGCAAACATCTAAAGACTGCACTTTATTTTAATTTTGTCTTTGTCAAACACTGCTAGTTGAAGCTTGGGTTGAATTTCTTGGCTCCACTGAGAAAAGGGAGTTTTTTTGCATTTGCAGATAAAAATGAGTCTGGATTTTGAAATACGAGCTGAGCAAATGTTAGCATTACCTCAGACCTGTAGTTAGCAAGGTCTTTGTTAGAGGGCAGAAAGGCTATTGGCACTTCAGTGTTGTGCAGAACAAAACATTTGTTATTCCTTTCAGTATTCCTTTAAGACTGGAGGCTCAAACTTGCACATTTTCTTCCAAGCAAGTGCTAACACTGCAACTGGCAGCGGTTGTCATTCTTGCAGATTTTGGTCAGGAAATAACTTGAAAATCATTGTTCTGGGGATTTATCTGACTTGCTTGTGTCAACGTGTTTTTTTTATAGCATGTTGGTAATTGGCAGTGTAGTGTTTGTTTGTAATCGGCAGTCTGTGAAGCTCGATAGTTTTCAGGCTCTAAGATACAGCTTGCTAGCCTAAAGTGATGCAAGCAGCAAAAGCCACATAGCTTTTTGGGATGGTTTATTGGTGTTCTGGTCAGATTTGATCCTCAGGAGCTGAGGATAGGAAAAACTAGTTTTCCTTTGCAGCGTTCTTACTTTTGCCATTTCCCTTGAATCAGGGTCCAAGAAGCGGCAGTGCAAAGTGCTCTTTGAATACATTCCACAGAACGAGGATGAGCTGGAACTCAAGCTGGGGGATGTGATCGACATCAATGAAGAGGTAAGATGTTTTACAGAGCTGATCATCTCTTCACGGGGCCAAAATTCAAGTTGGTTTTTTGGTTGAATACTTGAATTACGAGGATGTTGGAAAAACAGCATAGGAAGTAGCATATTTGAAGCTAAAGCTAACAGTTTAGGAGTTCTTTCTCTCAGGATCTAATCCTTACCTCCTAGGTGTGTAGGGGAAGTATTTGATCATTGCAGCAATAAACCGTGATCTGTTTGTTACACAGATTCCTTTTTCGAAAGACTTGTACAGTTCCTAGGCCCTGCCTGTGTGATCCTTGTTTTTAGGATGCTTATGCTAAAACGGTTGACCAGTTGCCTTCAAGTTGCCTTTAAACTCTAATTTGGTTTAGGTGAAAAATGTTATTTGACCTGACTTTCCAGTTTCATGTTTTCTTGCAAACTGATTGAAGCTTTGAACAGTAACAGTATTCAGCACAGAAGCCAGTACCTGTAGTACAATATACTTCAACTGACTTGAATAGAAATGTGGAGCATACAAATGTACTCAACAACATGCTATTATTTTATTGCCCTCCTTTTCCACTGGGTAAGACATACAGTTAAAGATATGTCTTCATGTTCAGACTTTGATGGCAATGACCCTATGTATTTGAGTGGGGGTTTCTTATCTTTTCCTACCTACGTGCTTCCTTGGTATCTGTTCTGTTCAATAGCAACTTGTGTTGTGAGAGGCTTGAATACGTGGGAAGAGTGTCTCTTACAAGAGTGAAATCTGTCAGGGAACCTGCGGAAAAGACCAGAGCAATTGTGGAAGGAACCCCTTCAGAACTAGGTGGGAAACTTCTGCACGGCATGCTCTGACCTTCACTGGTGCCATCTCTTCTTACCACCTCCATGAAGACCTGAGGAAGGAGAAGACTGAACTTTTCCTCCTAGCCGTGTGTCTCATGGTGCTTTTTAAGTAGCTTTATGAGATTGTGTTTTTCACATGCATGATCTCTTCTGAAGAGAGTGCTAACTCTCCAGGATCCCGAGAGTTGCCAGGAAGGACTTTTCCGTTCTCCTAGCAAGGAAAAAGTTTTATGTTGTTAGATGCATTTGCACTAGTGACTTCTATAATTTGTTCTCTTTGAATTAAACAGAGCAAGTGACTTGTAAAACCTGCTCACTAAAATCACAGTTTCATAAGTACCATTGTGTGTGGGTGTTTTGTAAAGGAGTGCTCCTGGATAACCTCACCGGTTTAATCTGTGGATAGTGCCTGTACGCAGCAGTCATGACTTTGAATGGTCCAACGTAAGCACTTACGAGAGATAGCATGTGCAGTAAACTGTCGCGGAAGCTGCCGTTTCAGGTCGCGCATGTCAACATCTGGAATTATTTTGGGAGGGGTGTTCAGTGTGGTGTATCAGAGATGACCAAGGAGCCAAACAATAAAAAGATCAAAGCGTTTCCTCATCTGGTTTCTTAAGGAAACATGGATTTTACTTTATTCTTTTAATTTTATTCTTTTAATTTTTTAGGGGGTCAGTCCTTGTGCTTCTTCCTTTCCTAATGATTTGAAAATACATATTTGCAGTACCCAGCCTTTGCTACTTCTGAGAAAAACTGTTAATCAAATTTTTAGGCAAATGCTACCAGATAGAAAAATATTGCAGCTAACTATTAGCACAGAGCTATTTGCACACTGTTTTTATGATTGTGTAGAATAGACCTGACAGGTGTAGGCTAGGTCTGCTTCACAAAACTGTACTGATGGACCAGAAATGTGAAGAATGGTAGAAAATACCATCCATTGGTTATGCAATATGCTGGGGTAACTTGTCTTAGGTAACTTGTCTTCACTACTGTGAGATAATTTGGTTCCATTTATATATAAAAGTTGCTATTTATATATATGCAGATAACTCAAAACTGTTACTTCAAGGAAAGATCACTTGGTCACTTTTTTTAATGGGGAAGATAAAGTAAAATCAGTTCCACAAGGGGATCAGTTCTGCTAGTTACCTGAGAATAATTCAGTATTTAGCCCTTGCAATTTTTTTCATAAATTGAGTAGTTACAACTGACACTACTGATTATGAAATCGAAGATGGAGGCAGATGGGTTCAGAAGTTAAATGGCTGATACTGAAGAGAGCAGGCTACAAGGATCAGAAGTAGCTTTTAGGAAGAAAGGCCCTTGTGCTATGTGCTGGCTCAATCCGCAGGGGGTTTTGTTTACAGAACACGTGGGTTTTGCCTGCAAAATACATGCACAAAGTGCATGTGATAACTGTATCATTGCTGTAAAACTTTTGTTTCTCCTTTGTATCTTCCTCCCACTCCTGTCAGATGCAGCACTAAATAGCAGATTTACTTTTGTAGTATTATATTTGTAGTATTTGCATGCTGTGTTATCAAGCATAATAGAAATTTATATGACTCCATTAGCTGAGTTATTATTTTAAAAAAAAAAAAAAAAAATCAGATTGGCAAAACTGCTTGTTTCAGCCTTTTTTTTTTGCCCTTTGTTCAGAAGTCTGAGTTTTCATCATCTTATAGAAATAAGTCAATGGAATTCACACTCAAAAAAAAAGGTATTGATGTGTGTACCAGAGCTGTAACTCCCTCTTGTGGAAATTGTATCATGATTTTGAAATGGAAGATAAGAGTTGTGAAATTGTCATCTGTGGTGCTAGCGCCCAGAGATGCACAGATGCTCTCCAGAAGAGCGTGTAGAACTTTTTTTAACCTGTTTTTTAATGTCGATTAAAGATACCTTTTCCGGTAATATAGTTTGTTTATAGTCGAGTTTTTTTAAAGACAGTGTGGTGAGGAGGCTGAAGCAAGTACGCTCAAGAAATTTTTC